TTGTGTATAATGTCTATTGATTGTATTGTTTATTTTAATATTTGTGTACAGCGCTTTGTGACTGCCTGTCTGTGAAAAGCGCTTAATAAATAAACTTTGCTTACTTCCTTTAGTTGTTCACACAAAGCATAAAGGTAAAAACAAACAAACAATATATACAGTGTTATCTTCATTTTAGATTTCAAAAAGTATTTGCGGCTCCCAGTGTTTTCTTTTGTGTAAAAGGTTGCAGACCCCTGGTTTAGACAATGAAAAATGTGTGAAAGTATAAAAGTGGACAGCTTTATTTTGCCGTCCCTGGGGCACATAAGGCTGGCTTTGGTAAATAAGGTTTAAACGGGAGTTTGTCTTATTCACGCTAAAACAGGAATAACTGCTGTACCCGTAAAAACGTCAAATGTAACCCTCCGCGGGGACCACTGAGCCAAATAACTGCGACACTTAACTCGCTTACAGTCAATGCTTCGCACACGGAAATGTATACTAAAAACAGCCACCTTTGCCGCTTGACAAGTTTTAAGGCTAGTTTTTCTAGCTCGACCAAAAGTGTTTCCCCTCCCAAAGAAACCCGGTGTCTGTACTTCCGAAAAAAGGAGTGAAGCCCGGAAACGTCAACGGTCTTCAGCATTTTGTCGGCACGGTGTCTGCTCGCAGGTCTGCCAGTTGGACAGACGATAAGCCCAGTAGCAGGTAGGCTAAACACAGCAGTATCTTCGCTTTATTTCTGCTGTTTGCAAAATGCTAGCTACTTCACGCAAATGAATGTTAGAGCCGTTTAAACCATCGTGAGAAAATCCTGACTCCCACACTGAAAGAAATGGTTACACTGGAACCTATTGTTCATCTCTCCCGGGAATTACTTCCCACGATAAAGTTTTTTTCGCCCTAACCACAAACAGCTAGCGTACGAATGCACTTATAGGCATCCAAATCCCGCGTGGGAAATCTGCCAGGCTGTAATAAGTATGTTAAAAAAATTTGTTTGATAATTCGTCGTTTCTGTGCTGTTTGACTGCACTTATCAGTTAACGTCCGCGTGCCATTGTCTACAGTAGCGTGCGAATGTCCGTTGGAAATGTCACAGTTAGAATTTCTTCCCCATTCCGCAAAATCAGTGTTCCGGTCATTTCGCCACACAAATATTTGATATATATCCGCTGTGCAGTGGTGGTCCTAGCCTGTTTGGCGCCCTGGGCGAACACTCCCTCTGGCGCACCTTGCAAACGAAGGGCGCCCTTACTCCCAGCAAATGGGCGATAGAAAACTGAT